CCCATTTTATGATTAACATTCCCCCTTTCCCCCCCAACCCCCGGCCCCCCCCAAAACCAAATCCCACCAATTTTTTTTAAAAAATTTTTTATTTTTTAAATTTCTTTTTTTTTTTTTTTTTTTTTTTTTTTTTTTAAAATTTTTTTTAATTAAAAAATTTAAATTTCAAATTTTTTTTTTTTTTTAATTTTATTAATTTTTTTTTTTATTTTATTTTTTTTTTTTTGTAATTTTTTTTAAATTTTTATTTTAAATTATTTTTCCTTTTTTTTTTAAAAATTTATTTTTTAACATATCTTTAAATTTTTTTTTAAAAAATTTTTTTTTTTTAATTTAAATTTTTTTATTAAAATTTAAAATTTTTTTTTCTTTCTTTTTTTATCTTAAAAAATTTTTTTTTTTTCTTTTTTTTTTTTTAAATTTTTTTTTTTTTTAATTTTAAAAAAATATTTTTTTTTAAAATTCTTTTTTTTATCTTTCTTTTTTCTTTTATTATTAAAAAAAACCCTTATTAAAAAATTTCCCAAAAATTTAAATTTTTTTTTTTTTACCTTTTTTTTTTAAAAAAAAAAAATTTTTTTTTTCATTCTTTTCCTTTTTTTTAAATATTTTTTTAATCTTTTTTTTTTTTTAAAAAAAATTTTTCTTTTTTTTTTTTATTTTTTTTTAATCTTTTTTTTGTTTTTTTTTCTTTATTTAAAATTTTTTTTTCATTATATATTAATATATATAATATTAAAAATAAAAAATATTCATATTAATATATACAATATATATTTTAAAAATAAAAATTAAAAATTTAAAATATTTACATATATATATATATATAATTTTTAATATATTATTAATAATACATATAAATATATATTTTTTTTTTTAAATATATAATTAATATATATAATACATATATAAATATAAAAATATATAATTTACATAATTATTACATATATTAATAATAAAATAAAATTTTTAATAAAATATTAAAAATAAAAATATAAATAATATATAAACATATATATATATATAATATAATAAATATATATATATAATATTTTAAAAAAATAAAAATAATATAAATATATAATATAAAATAATAATATATATAATATAAAAATTTTATATATAAATAATATTTTAAATTAAAATATAATATATTATATATATATAATAAAAATAAATATAATAAAAATATTTATATAAACATATATTTATATATATAATATATACAATAAAATTTATATACAAAAAATATATATAAAAACATAATTTTTTAAATTAATACATATAATTTTTAATATATACTTTTATTATAATATACATATATAATTTTAATATATATACATAAATAAAATAAACAATATAATATATTACATATATATATAAATATATTTTACATATAATATATAGGGTTTTGGGAAAGGGGGTATGACGGGGGAAATAGGGGGCAAGGGTGGCAGATGTTGAAATGTATGGTGTAGGAGGATTTTACTAAAAAGCGTGAAGAGTTTTTACGAGGTAGTGAGGCTCAAGTTAGAGTATGTGGGAAAAAGGGGGGAATTTTTCCCCAAAAAAGTGGGGGCCTTAGACAAGGTTGGATGCACCGGGGTTGTTTAATTTTTAAGGGGGGGTTTAAGGAGTAAATGCAGGGTTTTGGGAAAGGGGCTGGAGTTAAAAATAAGAACACACACAAAGGGAGTTGTCACAGCTGCTTTTTGCTGATGCACTGTGCCTTGGGAGTTTGAAGAGAAGTTGCAGAGATTGGTGGATGAATTTGGGGAGGGTGTGCAAAAGAAAAAATTAAAGGTGAATACAGGAAAGGTAAGGTTTGAGGATAACAAAAAGATTAGGTGATTTAAAGATTTAAAATCAGATTGAGGAGAGGTATGGAGGAGGGAACGTATTAGATATTTTGGGGTGGGCGTTTTAGCGGGTGGTCTAGAAAGATAGGGAAACTAGAATTTATGAGGGGAAAAAGAGTGATGGTCCTTAGGAGTCTGTGGAGCAAAAAACTTGTCCTTGGAGGAAAGAGGGGAATGTATGAGAGTATATTTTTACCAAAGCTCTTATATGGGGTTTTGGAAACGGGGTGATAATGTTCAGCGAGGAAAGGCTGGGGGCAGTGGAGTGTATGTTGAGGGAATGTGTGGGGGTGAAAAAATCAGAGAATTCGTAGTTTGGAAGTTTGGGGAGGTGCGGATTACCAAAAATTTGTCCAGGGGCTGGGGAAAGGGGGGTTGAGGTGGTTGGACTGAGAGAAATGGAGCGAAACAGAATGACTTTCAAGGTGTATCAGCTGTAGTGGAAGGAAGGGGGGGGTAGGGGTCGGCCTAGGGGAAGGGTTGGAGGGAGGGGGTAAAGGAGGTTTTTTGTGCGAGGGGCTTTGGGCTTCCAGCAGGCAGGGAGCGGTTTGATAGGGGTGAATGGGGAAAAAAATTTTTAATCTTTACGTGTGTTTGGAGTGTGAGCAAAGTAACATTTATAAGGGATTCAGGGAAACCGGGAGGGCCCGGACTTGAGTCCCCGGAGTGGGGGTCAGTGCCTGCACTCTGAAGGGGGGTGTTAATGTTGCAAGTTAAAAAAAGTAGTGTAAAGCCCCTTCTGGCAAGACTGATTGGGGGGGTGAAAAATGGGGAAAGTTTTTTTTTTTTTCGGGCCCCCCTGGCCTTGGGGGGATACGGCCGGTGTGTGAAAGAAGAAAGATATATATATATATCAATATATATAACTTATATTATATACATATAAATATATAATACATAATTTTTTATTTTTACAATTTTTTTTAATAATAATAAAATATATATATAAATATATTAATTTATTATCATTTTATTTTAATTTTTATATACATTTTATATATTTACAAATAATTTATTTAAAATTTTTATTAATTTAAAAAATTTTTAAATATACAAATTTATATTATTAAAAATTTTAAATTTTTTAATATATATTTTTTATTATTAAATACATTTAATATATATTATATATATAATTAATTTTTAAAAATTTTTTAAAAATATAATTTTATAAATTTTTAAAAAAAAATAATATTTAAAAAAATTATATGTATATATATATATTATGTATATATATATAATATATGTATAATATATATTTATTATATATATATTTATTTTATATATATAAAATTATATTATATATATATTTATTTTTATATATATAATAATTAAAATTATTAATATATAATATAATCAAATTTTTATATTTATACATATATTATATATAAACATAAAATATATTTTCAATATATATATATATATATATACATATAAATAAATATAATAAATATTATATTTTAAAATAATTTAATACAATATTATAAAAATATATTATATATATATAATATTAAATACATATATAAAATTATATATACATAAATTTATATATAAATATAAATATATTACATATTATATACATATTTTTAAAAAAAATATATATATATAAATATTATATACAAAAATAATAAATAAAATATAATATACAAAATTTTTTTAAAACATAATATATATAATAATAATATACTATATATATATACATTATATTATACATATATTATATAATATATTACATATATATTAAATATATAAAATATATATATAATATTATAAAAAATTAAAAAAAATTAAATATATTATATATTTTTAAAAAAATAACATAAAAATTATACAAAATAAAAAAACATAATAAATATTTAAATATTAATATTAAAAAATATTATATTCATATATATACAATTAATTTATCTAAATAAATATATTATTATAAAATTTTAATTAATATATTATATATATATATAATATATAAAATTATATATATATATTTTATATAATATAATTTTAAAAAATATTAATGAATAAATAATAAATATTTAAATATAAAAAAATTAAAAATAAAAATTAATTTTGGATAAATTATAAAATATTATATTTTTATAATTATAGTAAAATTAATTTTTTATTTTTAAAGTGGTTTTTTTTGATATAATATAATTATATTTATAATATATTTATTATATAATATATTATATAAATATTATATTATATATATAAATTATAAAATTTTTAAAAATATATATTATATAAATGTATGATAAATAAATTAAATTATATATATATTAATAATAAAATAATATATATATATAATTATATTATAAAATTTTTATAATATATATATATATATTATATATAAAATTTATTATATATATGTATATATATTATATATATTTATATATATATAATGTTATATATTATATAAAATTTTTATATAAATTTTTATATTAGTTTATATATGTATTATAAATTTTTATATATTTATATATTAAAAAGTATAAAATATAATATATATATTATAAATATATATTATATAATATATATATATATATTATAAATTATATATATATATTAGTATATATATATATAAATTTTTTTAATTTTAAAAATTTTAAAATTAAAATAATATAAATAAATAAAATTTGTTTTTAAGTAATTAAATTAAAAATTAAGGTATTTAAATATGTAAAATAAATTTTATTTATGAAAAAAAAAATATATAAATGATATGTAAAAATATGTTTTGTATAAATGGGAAAATATAGGGATTGTATAAAAAGTATATTTAAATTATTTAAAATATATTATATTATAATAATTAATATAAAATATATATAATAAATAAAATATAAAAAATTATATTAATAAAATTATAAATTTTTTTTTTAATTTCAGGGTTATTAGCAAAATTTAAAAAACATATAATAATTCCCCCAATTCCCAATTTTTTTTTTATTCTGAAAAGTTAAAAAAAAAACTCTATTTTTAAAAATTTCACTTATATTCAAAAATTTTGGCGAGGGGCAAAATGACAGCAAAAACTCCAGCCATTAAATTAAAATTACATTGGGGGAAAAACTCACCACAAAACCCCCGGGATTCCCGCCAAAAGGTATAGGTAAATTTTTCCGTACACAAACACGTCACTTTTTTCTCTTGAAAATTTCACTTTCTGGCTTATTTAAATAGTCATCATCCCTGAAAATATTTAATAAATACATTTAATATGTAACAATGCAGCCTATGAGCATCAACCTAAAGCTAAAAAAAAAAAAAATATAGAAAATGCTTAATGGATAGATTAAAAATTATATGGATTGTTCTAGGACATGAGCAAAAATTTTGTTACAGTTCTCACGTGGATTACTTTAACAGCTAAATTTACTAAGAGAACATTTAATAATGGGAAAGCTTTCACAAAAATACAATCATTTTTTTTTTAACATATCGGGTGCTTCCCACAGAGGCAGGGTGACCCAAAAAGAAAAAAAACTTTCATCATTGTTAAACACTTTCACCATCATTCATACACAATCACCGTCTTTGCAGAGGTGCTCACATATGACAGTTCAGATGTCACTAAACAGCCAATATCCCAGCCCCTCCTTTAAAATGCAGGCATTGTACTACCCACCTCCAGGACTCAAGTCCAGATAACCGGTTTCCTTGAATATTACCCTGTTCACACTCCAACAGCTCATCAGGTCCCAAAAACCATTTAATTCCATTCATTCCTATCTAACACGCTCACATATGCTTGCTGGAAGTCCAAGTCCCTCACCCACAAAACCTCCTTTACTCCCCCTCCCTCCATCCTTTCCTAGGACGACCCCTACCCTGCCATCCTTCCCCAACAGATTTATACACCCTCCAAGTCATTCTACTTTGTACCATCCTCTCTAAATGACCAAACCATCTCAACAACCCCTGTTCAGCCCTCTGCCTAATACTTTTAGTAACTCCACAATTGATGAGGTTGCAAACAAATAATTAAGATGTTTGAAAATAAAAACTGACCATAATAGTTTTGAATTATTGGAGTGGACTTCTCAATATTAAAATATACAGGAGGGCACTATTTATCCAGCAGGTTGGATTTCAGGCTACTGCTATAGTGATTTTTTTTTTTTTGCTTTTATATGTATATAACTGGGAGCAAGGGGCTAGTAACCTCTTCTCCTGTATATATTACTAAATTTAAAAGGAGGAACTTGCGTTTCTCCTTGTGGGCCACCCTGCCTCGGTGGGATACGGCCGGTTTGTTGAAAAAAAAAAAAAAGTTTTACATGATGGTAGGATTGCTTTTTTTTTTTTTTTTTTTTTTTTTGTCTCAAATATGCAAGATTTCAGGTACATCTTGCTACTTCTACTTACACTTAGGGCACACTACATATACATGTACAAGCATATATATATACACACACCCCTCTGGGTTTTCTGCTATTTTCTTTCTAGTTCTCGTTTATTTCCTCTTATCCCCATGGGGAAGTGGAACAGAATTCTTCCTCCGTAAGCCACGCGTGTTGTAAGAGGAGACTAAGATGCGGGGGCAAGGGGTTAGTAACCCCTTCTCTTGTATAAATTACTAAATTTAAAAAGAGAAACTTTCGTTTTTCTTTTTGGGCCACCCTGCCTTGGTGGGATACGCCCAGTTTGTTGAAAAAAAAAAAAAAAGTACATGTATGTAAATGCCTCGTAACATGTTTACACTATCATATTAAGTTAGCAATAGAACCAGGCATAAAAAAAAAGCAAAATGCACATACAGTGGACCCCCGCATAACGATGGCATCACATAGCGATTATTTCGCATACCGCTTACTTTAATTGCAAAAATTTTGCCTCACATACCGCTTAAAAACCCGCTTACCGATTTTCTTCCGAGACGCGCTCACATGTTCCGCCGGTGGCATTGTTTACCAGCCAGCCTCCGCGGTAACATCCAAGCATACAATCGGAATATTTCGTATTATTACAGTGTTTTCGGTGCTGTTTCTGGAAAATAAGTGACCATGGGCCCCAAGAAAGCTTCTAGTGCCAACCCTGTGGTAAAAAGGGTGAGAATTAGTATGGAAATTAAGAAAGATTTTGAAGGGTTTGGGGCTAACCCTGAGAAGCCTATGCCAGTTGTGGAATCCATTGTGCCTACTTCAAAAATTAAGGAAATGTGTGCACAGTGGGTTGAACTGCAAACCTTTATGGATGAAAATCACCCTGACACAGCTGTTGCAAGCCGTGCTGGTGACTATTTCAATGACAATGTTGTGGCCCATTTTAGACAAATCGTAAAGGGAACGGGAGGTACAGAGCTCTATGGACAGATTTGTTGTGCGACAGAGGTCCAGTGACTCTCAAGCTGGTCCTAGTGGCATTAAAAGAAGAAGGGAAGTAACCCCGGAAAAGGACTTGCTACCTCAAGTCCTAATGGAAGGGGATTCCCCTTCTAAACAGTAAGAAGATAATGCTCTCCCCTCCTCCCATCCCATCAATCATCACCAGATCTTCAATAAAAGTAAGTGTCATGTAAGTGTGCATGCCTTTTTCAGTTTGTGTGTATTAAAATTAACATTTCATGTGGTAAAAAAAATTTTTTTTCATACTTTTGGGTGTCTTGCACGGATTAATTTTATTTCCATTATTTCTTATGGGGAAAATTCATTCACATAACGATTATTTCGCATAACAATTACCCCTCTTGCACGGATTAAAATCGTTAACCGGGGGTCCACTGTACAGTACACTCATTCCTTACCTAAAATATTTGTGGTCTTTGTGTAGGGTGAGAGGCGAGTATTTACTGTAGAAAGTCAGGTGTGGTAGCTTGCCCGATAAAACCTTTAAAGAGTTAAGGATATCCTTTTTTATTTGATGTAGCAGTGTCAATACTTAACCCTTTCAGGGTTTCGGCCGTACTAGTACGGCTTACGCCCAGGGGTTTTTGACGTACTAGTACGCATAAATTCTAGTGCCGTCAAACCTCGCGGGAAAAGGCTGGTAGGCCTAGATGTGAGAGAATGGGTCTGTGTGGTGGGTGTGCACAGTAGGAAAAAAATCTGGGACCCAGTGGTGCACTGTAGGATCATCATCTTTGTAAACAATGTTCACCATGCCTCGCGGTAAGAAGTTCCTCACTCCTCGGCAAATTGGGACACTTTTGTTCCCCAGTGACAGTTCTAATACAGATGGAAGTGCCAGTGAAGATGAGTTTCAAGGTTTTGGTGAGGTTTTGACCGGAACTAATGACCATAATATCGGTAATAGTGAGGAAAACCCAAACGACCCTCAGCTTTCCACCTCTGGTGGTGGGTTGTCTTGTTCACGTTCAGTTGTACCAGAATCAAAAAGGAAACTCCTATTTTCCCAAATCTCAGACTCAGATGTGAGCATTTGTGATGATAGTGATAGTGAACATGATCTACAAGCTCTTCAAACTAGTTCCAGTAGTGATAGTGAAGTGCAATATTCCCCAGTGAAGCATCAGTATATACGACGATATATGCGCTCTGGTAGTGTGCCATATGCTATTCCAAGGGAAAGGAGTACATCTCGGAGTACATCCCGTGGCTGTACAACAGGAACAGTGAAAATGACGATGATAGTGTTGCAATTGGGATGGAAAATGTGCATGGTGGTGGTAGTGGTGGTGCCAGCCGTGAGGCACCAGCAGTGGGCCACGCTGCCACCCATGCCACTGCCTCAGCTGATCAACAAGGGCCACCATCCCCCACACACCCACCACACCAGTTTCCACAACCACAACCACCTGTCATTGTCCAGTACCCACCAGCAGACCACACCTGGGATTGGCAGGAAGCTGTCAATTTTGTTCCAAATCCCCACCAGTTTGATGACAGCCAAAGTGGAATACAGCCATCCTGTACACTTGGGAACAATGCCAGTGAACTGGAATATTTCGAGGTATTCTTTGGCAAACCCCTGATGGAAAGTATTGTCATGGAAAGCAACACATACTACGAGTACACCATGGCAAACAATACTTTCACCAAAATCACGTCTACACCAGTGGAAGGAGACAACTGTGGCTGAGATGTATCTTTTCTTTGCGACAATAATGCTTATGCCACATGTGTATAAGCACAGTGTGAAATCATACTGGTCAACAGACCACCTGATTGCAACCCCAGGTTTCAGAGATATAATGCCAGTGAATCGATTTGTGCTAATGTTACGTATGCTTCACTTCTCAGACAAAACCAGGCCTGACAGAAACGACAGGTTATACAAGATTAGGCATGTGTTTGTGTATCTGAAAGAAATTCAATATGCATTTTTATCCCTTCAGGAAGCTTGTAATTGACGAGTCTTTGATTCTGTTCAAAGGAAGACTCTCAAGCAGTACATACCAAGCAAGAGGAAATGCTTTGGTATAAAGTTGTTTGTGCTTTGTGATTGTTGTAGACAGCCTGTACTGTCTGCACAGACAGCCCATGCTGTCTGCCAGCTTAGTTCATATTTCACGCCACTCAGATGCTGCCCTCTGTAGACAGGCCTCTCGGTAGGCACGCCAGCCTGTCTGCCCATGCCTCGCTCTCACTCACACAGCGGCCTAGCAGCAAGACACAAGTACTAGTAGCTCTCTCTCGTGGGATGGCCCTTCCCGGGCCATGGGCACAACACCCACCACAACTTAATAAACAAAGAAGCCTCCGAAGAAGACACGTATCATTTACACCCCGCTTTCAGCTCTACCAAACAATCTCATTATAAATGGTGGAAAGCGGTGGTCGCAGCAGTTGTTTGCCCAGAGAGAGGAAGGAAGAGGTATGAAGTCATCTTCACTTCATCACCCTATACAAGAAGCATCCGTCTCTCAAGGAGTTATCCTGATGTCGTGTCTGCACGTTTGAGCATCCAGACACAGGTACAAGCAGGATCCAGGCCGAAATTTGCCGAAATTCTCCGAGAATTGTAAGTGACCCCACGCTACAGCGTCCCACGCTGTTTCGCAAGTCACGTGTTCAGCGTCACTTATATGTTGCTGTTCAGCTCAGCAAAGCTGTTTCAGCAAGCCAGAGGCGAGTTTTGTGGCAATTTCTGCATCCAGTGTGAGTTCTCCACGTGTTTGTGGGAGGAGGAAGAGGCCGCTCCTTGCCTCACCCTGCTGTACTCTCACACCTCACCAGCCTACCATACACCACTCACCACTACTCACCCCCTCTGCTGTGTTTTCTGCTGTT